GAATTGTTTTTATCAGCACTGACCAAAACCATTTCATGCAGTGGAGTCCAGAATCCAAGTGGAAAGGACACTGTAAAGACTGATGGCTACAGGGAGGTATGAAGAATTGGGATAGTTTTTGCAATATACTACACAGTTCATAAAAACTCATGAAACCAAGATTGCATTATAATTCTAGATCTATGGAAGAAGAATATGATTTCTGATTTTATTTTTCTAGTTTTCATTATAAAGCACCTGTTTTTTTGTCTTTATGAATGCCCCGTCTCTTTTTAGGCATACTGAACTAAAGGTAGGGAAACCAGAAATGAGGAAAAGGTTAAAAAAAACAAATCTTGAAGGGGCTAGGTCACTGTTGAAAAATAACTATTATGTATGTACCATTATGTAATTTCAGAGATGCCCATTCATCTCCTCTTCTTCTACAGGATACTAAAATTCAGAGGAGAAATAATGTCTGACCTATAGTTCCACAATAGGTTAGTAACTCACCCCAAACTAGGAACCTAGTTCTAAGTTCTAGGAACCTTGTTCTAAGCAGAGTCATTCTCCACTATATTTTGTACGGTACATTCCTCCTAAATTCTTCATGTATTTCCCTGATCCCTGCCACTCCCAATTCATGTAATCACTTTTATAATTAATGTACTTTTGAAAAATTGTATTGTTGTCCAATTTGCCTGAAAAGCATGTTCTTATTTTGAGTTTTCCTTTTTAAGCTTACTCATCACAAGTTCTTAAAATGGTAGTTAGTGATTCCATTACATACACACACACGTTTTGCTCTGCTTAACCTACACTCTTTTCATCATAAAGAGAGTTTTTAATATAGCGGTTATGTTAAATCAACTTCAGTTTGATAGGTCAGCCTTTGAATTATGTTTGCTGGGATGCTGGGGAGAAACTACTGAGAGGTCACTGTGACACTGTCAGTCAGAAACAGTGAAGCATGCCATGTGTATTCTGTTAGAAATGGATTCAAGTTTTAGGGGGATAGTCTTCCTTTTTCCCCTGCTACCAGTCATCATATAATTGCACAAGATCTAGGTCAGGGCACAGGGAAATGAAAGGAGATATTCTCAACACTTTAACAATGGTGATTTTTATTGAAGATGTGTTATTTTTTCCTAACAATTACACTTTTCTATTTGGATTCCCAGATCCCTAGATAGTTCCGTACACTGTCTTAAGATTGCGTGTACAATTTCAGAGCAGCACAGAATTTTAGAACTGAGGGACCCAGAAAATGCTAGGTAATTTGTGACCTAGAATATTTTTTTCATATTTATTCTTTTTTCGTATCATTTATACTTTCAATGATTATTTCTCCTTTTTTTCTTGTAAACTTAGTTGCCAAACTTTGAAATCCTCTAAGGAGAGCAATATTGCTATGTCTCCAAAATATTTATATTTGAGCCCTTTTAGATGACTACATCCTAAAATATTTTTCACCTAAAATCTCTCTTTCTGTCCTGTGTGCTAGACCATTGGAGGCGTAAAGCAAAAATCCATTTCTGCCACCCTGACCTTCATTCTTTTGGGTGGTTAGGTTTTATATTTTGTTTTTCTAAACAAGGGAAAACAGTTACAGTTCCACCTCTTATGTGCTTCCTCTCAGATGAGTTGTAAGTTCAGAATGTGCACATATGTAAGATTTCAAGTGCAAAAGGAGAACAGAGTAAGAAACAGATTTTCACAGTCTCCGTCTGGGTCTTTGTGTAAGTGCCAATGTAAAGCTATTCACTGATCAGTGAGTAGTATCATGTTGCCTGCTCTAAGGAAACAGATTTGAAAACCCAATCTTAATAAGCAGATCAATTGGGTGGGGGAGTTGAGATTATTGTATTGCATTCCAATGAAATGCAGTGTTGTCAAAAACTTTTTTCTCTAGAAATAAAATTACAGGAGGCATATAGATACCTCTCAAAATGTCAGGAATGGGGGTTGGGGAAATTTCGTTAAGAATAGTGAAAACATACCACTTATTCCAGGAAGCATTCACTGTGAGCATCTGGGTATCTCAGGGTAAAGGGTAAGTTTAATCTGAGTAGGGGAGGAGGAGGTCTATCCTGAATCCAAGGAGGTAAATGAATCAAACTGAAAGTCTGCGAAGGAGATTTCTGAGTAGAAGTATGAGCTCCTGGGTCCAGAGGGAAGTCAAATTACTGGCTTCTCAATTTGTAGGAGCTTATGCTTGCATGTTTGCATTTCCCTGCAAAGCTAGGGGCAACTTATAGGATAAATCACAAGGGAATTACTCGTATTATTTCTCTTTTGTCCCACTTATTCAACTTAAATATAAGGACTGGTTTGATTTATATTCAGATTTTACATATTTCTGGAGTTTTCCTGCTTTCTTCAAATTTCTTGCAATAAAATCACTAATGTCTGAAATTTCTTTACCAAGAAACCGTATCCCATCCATAATTAGAGATAAGACTATATCCAAATATTTATTTAATACACTGAATGGAATTTGCTAACTTTAACTCTTACTGAATGTTTATTGTTTGCCTGTTGCTATTAAGGAAATAGAAAAAAGGAAGAACAATAAGGTTTATTGTCTTCCCATGACTGGGATGAGGAGACATGGCAGATCATATAGAAGTTACAGTGGGATGTAAATATCATGAGAGTAGAGACCAAGCTGTATCTTTCTCACTACTGTGCTCCCTGATTTGCTGCAGTGCCTGCCTTATAACCAAGGTTTATTATTTTTTTAAGTGGATGGAAAATGAACACAGCATCATAAAGACTAGAAAATAGGCATGTACAAAACAGACTATTGACCCAGAAGAAGGATGAACAACTTAGCCTTGGAGAGATGCAGGTGAAGGGAGACTTTATGTGAAGATAATTGAAAAGGACTTTGAGAGAGGAGTCGGTGTTGTCTAGAGTTTCCCAAAGAGTGTTCCAGCTGGAAGAATTAGAGTGGACAAAAGCAAGAAGGTGTGAAATGACATGAATGCTCAGGGATTTGCAAAGAAATTGACAATCCTAAATAGTAAAAAGAGTGGAACAGAAAAATGGCAGATGAGGATCATATCATGAAGGACCTTCACATGTAAAAAAGTGACATACCTGATCTGAGACAAGACAGGTGTTACCTGCTACCAGGGTGGGTGTGGAAAAACAGAGACCAAGGGATTTGTTTCTATCACATGCTTTTAACTGAACTTGACCTTGTTTATCTTCAACACTGCTGGGATGTGGAAGCTAATTAGGGAAGCATTTCTCAATATAGAAGTAACAGCGCTTAATGAACTATACCAATATTGCTCCAGTGAGCTTTTGTATGTTAAAAATGTATCAAAAGTAAAATTTTTGTATTTTCAAAGTTTTGAGTTTTATTCCCAGATGATCATTTAATAGATACACCATTTTACAAATGAATCTGTCATTTAATAAATGGGATTGTTGCCTGGTTCCTTTAAACAGTGACTTCATTTAGGATTAGTCAATTTGTACATGGCTTTCCAGAGACTTGTCCTGTGTGTAAATTAAAGCACCCTTGTAATGGGTATTTCTCTGCCCCACAAACATGACTTGTATTTCTTGTATGACCAAATACTTATTTCTGTTGCGTAGTGTATTTCATTATAAGTTGGTTTCTTAAACTTAACTTTAAGTACACCTGCTGACTATTTTAATAGCAGCTTTAGTTCGTGCTGAGTTGAAATTGATAGAATTGCTACTCCTCTTCTTGCAGCTCAGCCACTACTGATGCTGTTGTGTTTTTTTCTTCTCCTATTCATTCTTTTAATTTTTCATAAAATAACTCCTTATTCAGCATGTTGAGGTTTAATTTATGTTCTCCACTTGATAGAGGATTTAATTTTGAGGGAAAGGTTCTTGGCTGATTGCATTAGTTCAGAGGTTTTAGAATAAGATGTTTGTGGGGAGGGGCAGCGAAATCTTCAGTCATTGATTCTCTCTTTATAACTTTGCCCTTTTAGCTGGAACAGATTACCTGTGTAGTGCTTCTTGCCCTGCACAGACTGAATCACAAGGAAGAAACTTTACATAAACCATTTATACTAAACGTTTGGTATGCTGGCAACATAAATCAACAACAATATCCATTACAAATTCATCCCTTTATCAGTATTATCTTGATAGACCAGATCCCAGTGTGTGGGAATTTGAACCCTGCTTCAATACATCTAGTCCTGGGTAATTAATTATTCAGGGCACAGAGAACCTGGCCCCTGCAATGTAGAGTAATTCTTCCTGGTCAGCGTTAACTCCACTGGCAATAATAAATAGAAAAAGTCTCTAGTGATGCTAGTATTTTAAAGTGATTAATCATCTTTCCCCCCTTCTCCTCCCCCTTAGTTTTCTTTAACTAGGAATTTTCAGCAATAAATCTTTAACAATACAGGTAGGAATTGTTCTGTAATTAAATTTTGCCCTGCTTAATTTCTTACCTTTTATGTGCAATTAAAAAAAATGTTACATTTTAAGGCAGGAGCTCTTATCAAAATTCAAACCAAGAAAAATCCTTTTATAGAATACTGAGAGTCTCTATGGAAGATTAAGCTCTTGATTTTGAATATTAGATAGAACACATACTCATAAAAATTGTTAATCAACACCAGTTGGGGTGTCAAATATTCTGAAGTTTTGAATTGCTTCACGTTCATGCATACAGTTTGTCTGTATTAGGATAAGTCTGACATATACATATGTTCCCAAATTGAGAGAATACTCACTTACTTCTTAACTTGCAGATAATTGGTGTGAGTTCTGTAGGAAAGAGACTTTTTTTTTTACCCTTTTTATGGTACACAGAGCATGCTTGCCGAAAAGCATACAGGTAAATGCTTGACTGAGAGTGATCACGTACTTTTAAATCATGTCCCATAGTACCTGACCAGCCATCATGTATACTCTGGGTGACAGGGACAGATGTGACATATCTGTTGTGACACACTACTGTACCACCAGCCTGTGCCTGGGGGTGACTCCTGTCCCTCCTCTGATGCTTTCCCCTGCTGCAGGACAACACAACGATGCACGGATGAACCTTGCCATTGCTCTCACTGCTGCCAGGTATGGGGCTGCCACAGCCAATTACATGGAGGTTGTGAACTTGCTTAAGAAGAAAGACCCCCAAACAGGGTTGGAACGCGTGAGCGGTGCACGGTGCAGAGATGTACTCACAGGTATGCCACGGTTCTAGTAGGGAGGTATTTCTTTGCATCTTACCTTCCGCACATAATGACTGTGTTATAATTTTTCTGTCACTTCTCTTTTATTTAAATCAGATTTCAGAGTCATATTAATTATATTCCTTATTGTCAACAGTGACTGGTTTAACATGAAAATTTTCCCTTGTGAGACTTGGCAATTTTCCCCCTTTGTGCTAAATAATAATAATGATAATGATAATAAATGCCCACAAAATTCCCACAGCTATGAATGCATTCTGTTTTCTTTATAAAAACATGTTATTAATAAAATTAAATAAATGTGTCAAGTTGCAAAGTGTCACTTAGGTGCCATAGGCAGTGCATTTACACATCGTTAAAGTCAATCACTTTAACTTTGGTTAGATTTTCATGCTTGCTCTGGATCTGTGGCCACGTAGGCAGAGTTTTCCCTGAACAAAACCAGCGCTGTGAAATACATCATCTCACAGCAATGCTGTTTACAAATTTGAGATTAAAAGAGAAAGTGACTCGCTTACTTTTCCCACTTTCTCCATGTATGTACTTTATTCTGGGCACTCTGCAAAATAGACTGAGAGCTGAAATGAAGAAGTGGCATGTTATTCTTTGATTTGGACTTTCTTTGGGTAAATTTACTCAGATGAGAGACTTTTGAGAGGCTTTTCAATAACTTTGGCTGCTCATGTCACTTAGCCTGGTATACAACATGCTTCGCCATAAGTTAAGTTAATAGATGAATTAGTAATCCAAAGCATCGGTGAGCAGAGAAACAAATGGGGTGTGTGATTGATGCTGCTTCTTACACAGGGCATGAATTTGATGTGAGAGCCAAATGTGTTATCAATGCTACGGGACCTTTCACAGACACCGTGCGCAAAATGGATGATAAGAACGCAGCAGCTATCTGCCAGCCCAGTGCGGGCGTCCATATTGTGATGCCGGGTTACTACAGGTAACTATTCCAACTAGGGGTCATGGCCAGGCGATGAAGGCTACATAAAGTGCTTATATCTGCTATTTTTAGCACACATTTCTTACTAATAGATGGTCTAGCTTACTGTTCAAAATGAAGAGAAGTAAGGAAAGGAACTTACCCAAAACACAAAATATAAACCACACTTGGGAATTTCTTAGCATTTATGACAATACTCCTTTTTAGAGGTTAATGATTTGGGTCCTATTTTTGTGCTTTGTTCAGAGTACTTACCTTCAGAGACCTGGAATTTTAATTAAAACATTTAAAATTTAATTTTGCAAAAATTTCCATAAAGGATATATTTTAAAACATTAAATTTTGTACAATATGTTTATAATGAATCTGGAAATAAAGACCACCCAAGTGTTCTTGTTTATAATTTATGAAGTATATTTTGAAAAATACTGTAGTAAGTAAAACTTTTAATTTCTAAACTAACGCATTAACAGAGATAATGGGGTGGAAAAATGGTTAGCAGTAGAGATGAAATAAGAATAGCTATTAATTAAAAATCATTTAAGTTGGATGATGGTCACATAGGGGTTCATGAAACTTCTAATTTTCTATATATTCTATATATTTGAAATCTTTAATAAAGAAACAATTTTATGGTTCTAGCTAAGTAATTAATAATGATCGCTCATGCTCAAGACATCCATGGAAAATATTCATGTGACCATGCAAGAAGTGTGCAACATGTGTACCATTTTTGCACCATGTGTGGTAAATCTAGTAGGCAAACTAGAAGTTCTCTGTGAAATAATGATTTATGTTCAAGATGTTTATTATGATGTTACTTGTAGTCAAGAAGTATTAGAAACCACTATTCCTAATCTTGGGGGAATAGATAAGCAATTTATGGTCTAGTCATATAAAGGAATTATAATATGGTCATTAAAATATAATTGTAAATAACTTCAATGTCCTAGGAAACCACTGATGATTCAGTGTTGGCTTAGAATGGAGGATGATCAGTTGTATGTGTGGTATTATTTGAACATTTTATAAATATACAAAGAAAACCCCAGAAGGAAAACGTTAAATGCTAATAGTGATTACCTCTAGGTTAATGTGATTGTAGGTAAGAGTTAAAGGTAATTTTTTTTTTTCCTAAGTGATGTGGTTAGGATGAGAGTTATCTCTTCCTTATTTTAATGATTTTACATAGAGGACATATACAGCTTTTAATATTTGATAAAATAAATGTGCAGAATCTATGTATTGTCTGTTATCTGCCCTAGAATGTTATTCTGATATGTTATAGATGCTGCTTCCTTATTATTTGGTAAGTTAATTTTCCTGAAGAGAGCCTAAGTTACCAAATATTTTGCTGCTGAGAAAATTATTAGCCTTTTACTAAGAAAAATATTAAAAAGAATTTCTTATCCACTCACACCAAGGCTTCCTTCTCATTTTCTACATGTCTAGCCTGGAGAAACCAAGATTTTTTTCCTTGATAATAATTTATGCAATGATACCTAATAGAGTCTGAAAAACTGCTAATCAGTTTAGTTCAAAAGAAAAAAAAAAATTTTGAAAATGTCTCTTGTGTATAGAGAAATTTTCAACAACAGTTTCAGGCACAATTATATATATAATGTTGGTTTATAAAGGGAGGGAACCCCGATGGATTATGGTGGAGGATTATTGGTCCTTTGCTGGTCGGGGTAGTATGATAACATATATCTGAAGAGGTGTGAACCCATAACCCCTAATCACATGTAGTGTAATAAAATAATGTTACCTCAATGAAAAGCAATGCAATTTAAAAAGAATATGCAAAACCAGCTAAATTATAAGGACTTTTTTGGGGTGAGGAGGTGTGTGGGGGGGTTGATTTTTAATGTCTTTAGGAATAGGTGATGATGTAATACCTAAACTCTACACATATATATCATCTTCATAATCATTACATCTGTGGAAAAGATGTAAGATATCTCTAAGATGTCTTCAAGAGACTATCAGACACATCCGCATGTGTTAGTATTTCCTTCATTATTGTTTCATGATGTCAGGGGATACTTATTATTCCCTATGTGAATTTTGCCATTTAATAATGACATCATTAGGGACAAGAAATTTTATTTCATGAACCTTAGTTTCCCCATCATTAAAATGGGAAGACATTTTGTTCTTTCAGGGTGCGCGGTCAAGGAGACAATAGGGAGAATAAGTTAAGATGATCCCTTAGTGTAGAACATCCTGGTTTATTCATCACTTTACCTCTTGCTAACTGTGTTACCATGATAAGCTACCTCTTTCAGCTTCTGGTTCCTTATTTCATGATAGTACCTATCTTGTTTAAATTTTGAAAATGATTCTTTGATTACTTTTTATCTTTTTTTGTTGACTGCCCTGTTCCCTGGTACAGTATCTGGCATATAATAGTGACCAGTAAGTATTTTTTGTTAACTTGCCCAAATTGAGACTGTGGCTTTTATTAATCAAAATTTTAAGATAGCATCTATACATTTTTTAATATGAAGTTAAATACAAAAACAAAATATGATTCTTCCTCTTATTGCTCACGTAACCCTATAGAAAAAATAAGTAGATAAAAGCAATCATTTTAGAAAAAATAGAACAACACAAAATGTCTTCTTCCTCATGTCCTGTCCACACCCACCCCCTGACTTCTGTTCTCTGGTAATTGGTAACACTTCCTCCTGATTCCTTCCATAAGATTTTATGTTCACACTTGTACAAATGTATTTCCTTTAAAAATTTTACATGAAATACGTCATGTAACACATACTGTTCTGTGTGCTTTATTACGGTAACAACAGAGTAGATAGGTGTTTATTAAGAAATATAAATTTGTATCACCTAGAGGAAATATTTTCAAAACAGAACTCCTTTCTTAATTATAAAAATTTGGCTTTAGCTTCACTGCCCCTCGCCATAAATCATAGAAGTGTTAGTTACAGCTGGGTCTGTTGGAATCTAAGATGCAATAAGTGATCACATTCTATTCTGGGAGAAATGAATATTTGCGTTTAGCACTTCGGACCACCCCTGCTGCACAGCCCATCAGGGATCTTGGATAGTGGTGTTCAGCCCCTTTCCTGGTCAGACTGTTGCACAGGAGCCTCTTGGTTTTGGGTTGTGGCCTGGATTAGAGTTTACTCCCTCTTGGAGCATTGATCTTGAGGCAGCTGTAGCTCTGGCGTTCTAGAGTAATAGCTTTGCTCTCCAAAGCAAGTCATTTGGGGCAGGGAGGGGGAGGTAGGTCAGAAGATAGACTGAAAAGGCTCCCTGCATTCATCAATCTCCTGAGCAATTATAAGTCAAGGATTTGACTAGGTTCTCAGGATGAGTCAGAGCTCTGGGCTGCCCTACAAGCCAGCTCATGATAACTTAGACCTATTATTTCTAATGAGTTTGGAAATGCAGTGAGTTCAGTAACCACTAATTTATTGAATGTAGGCTGCTAAATGAAGAGCAAGAAACATCAGTACTCTGTATTTTGTTGGACTGTTTTCACAGTTGTCTTCACCAGATTTATTGTTAATGGTATTTATTAAGTTATAATCCCAGCTGACATCCCACCTGTAGAATGATCTCATGCCATAGTAGCAACTTTTTTCTTTTTCCTTCTATTATCATTTTACTTTCAGAAAGCCCAACACAAAGAACTCCTATTTTTCAAAGGTACTCTAGTTTGCATTAAGAACAAATCTGGAATTTCTGTCAGTTGTGGCTAGATAATCTTAAAAAGCAGCAATATACCAAATGACTGAAATGCATGAAAAATGCCTTTTCCTCCTTCTAGCCCACAGATACTTTTTACTACTGACAAGAGTTCAATTTTTTTTTTCTATAATGTGTGCATACTGTTAGCTCTAGCACTGATTGCTAAGCAGTTAACAATAAATTGATTTCATTTTGAATAAGGGTATTTCAGGAAGGCAGTGGTCTGCATGAGAAAAATGTTCATTACATTTAATCCTAGACACACACATACATTAGCAGCAAGTTTTTCTCCCTGATGTCAAGTGTATCACAGATGGAAAAAGGACCTGTGCCTCACTGTACTGTATATATCATCACTATAGTTGGTATCTATTTTCAAACTTTAGTGTGACCTTGCAAAATTAATCCTTCATAAGAAAACAAACCTTTCCCTGAGGGAGAATATGAATTAGGTAATTTAGAACTGATGAAAGGTATTTCCAAGTGGATTCTAAAATTTTTATATCATTCATTAATGGCTTTGTCTTCCCTCTGTGCTTGTTAATTTTATGTTTGACACATATGTCTTCACTTAAGCAGTTGATTCTCTACAGGTTCCAGATATGTGTGTGTTGGCAACCATCACCTTCACCCTTTAAACTGCTTTTATTGCATTGAAATATTTTAAAGGATTCAATGCTTGTGCTTTTCTAGCAGTATTTCATGTGTCGGTTGCTGAATATTATAATTTTATGCTGAAGTTGATTATGTTTATCTAGTTAGACACTTCATACGATACTGGTCAATAAAGTGATTATGTATACAACATACCAACATATGAATTTTTCCTTAAATGTCATTAACTATAGAATTTATCCTTTTATTTTAATAAAGTACTGTTTATCAAATTGGAAACTTAAACTAAGTTAATTTCCAACCCCAAGGTGACTGATTTAATACGAGTAATCATATAATATGAGAATCAAAGTAGGTACTTACAAAACACATAATTAATTTCTTTTAAGATTTCTAGAGTTGCATGACAAACACAAAGAAAAATATATTGTCATACAAAATTATTGATAAAAATTATTGATACTTCTGGTTTTCAATATATAAGAAAAAATTTCTTCCTCCAGTAAATGAGTGAAAATGGAATCTTAGCTGGTGGTTTGAATGATTGACATTCTTATTTGGTGCTTTTTACATGTCCCACTCTCTCTTGTGTCTCTCAAGTAGTCTGTTGACAGTGGTTATTTTCTACAAAGACTGTGTAGACATGGTAAGCAGTTCATAGGGCTGCTGATGGGTCTTTGCAAAGAAAGACCTAATAATTTTCATTGCTTAAATAAAGGAGACGTATTAGCTAAGCTGATTGTAGATTTCTTTTTCATAAAAAAATTAAGTTCTCTCATCTTTGCACATTTGAATTGATCTAAATTCAAAAGTTTTTTTTTTTACAAAATGGCAAACATAAAATATTGACTGTATGTCCTTTTAAATTTGTGGGAATGAGAGATTTCTTGAAATTCACTTAAACTAAATAGAATTGTGTTTCCTATTTAAGAAATTGCATTAATAGACACTGTGAATATACTTACAGAAAATACCTTTAGCACTGACTTGCTATGGTAATTCAATCAAAGTAAACAGCTTTCTAAAGATTTGTATTCTGGCACTCTCAGATTTCTCCTATTCCATTAACAACTTCACCGAATTTCTTTGAGTGGTTAATGAATACAACACTTTTTAGTGAATTAAAACAGTAGTTTCTAGTGATTTAGTAACATAATTAGACAGAATTTTTTAATGTTTACTTACAGTTGCCTATTCTTTCAAGTGTGTTTTATGTGTTTTAGAATATTAAGTACATGTTAATGAAAGTTCTTGATTAATATTTTGGAAGGTTTTATATAATCTGTCAGAAGAGGTACCCTTGAACCTTGATTTAATAGCATAATGCACTAGCATCTTCTATTTAAAGATTTCCTTGATAAGATATTCCTCTCCTTTTTGACCTTATCTTAGTACTTTGTTAGGTAGTAGTAGAAAACTGAACCCTTTTCTCATGGAAACATTTTTTGAGATGGCTGTAAATCTGGAATAAAGCAAGAAATCTCATATTTGGTGAGGAGTACAAGTTCATCTAATCACAAAAGAGTAAAGGCCTTTTTGATTACATTTTACTTTCTAGAAAGTTAGGCCCTTAATTTTTCTCATGTACTTCTGAAACCTGCTCTGAATGATGTGCCAAATGTCAAATGTCTCAAGAACATATTTGTCATAGATTTGAAAAAAGGTTGAAGAGTTATCCTTTAATTGACCATCATCAAAGAAATTATAGACATTTATCCTGCTGACATTATCTGATGTGAATGGCCCAAGGAATATAAAAACCAAAACAATTGGAAGGTGAAGCTCACTTTATTAATTAACCTTCAGTTGTTGAGAAGGGGAGGGCTGGTTCTTGTCTGGGATATTGTTATGATCATACTTCCTCCATTCCTTTGTGTTACTTACCAAACTTGTTTTTTCTTTTAGAAATTTCTAGATTAAGGTCGTGGCAGTAAAATTAATAGATCATGTGTTTCTTGTTTTGTTTACATGAGAATCAGTAAATAAAATACCTCCTAGACTGTAGATGAAGATTAAAACTTCTGCTAATTTCAGAAATATATGACCCTTCTTTTTACCTCAGCCCAGAAAGTATGGGACTTCTTGACCCAGCAACTAGTGATGGGCGAGTTATTTTCTTCTTACCCTGGCAAAAGATGACCATAGCTGGCACTACCGACACTCCAACTGATATTACACACCATCCTATTCCTTCAGAAGAAGATATCAACTTTATTTTGAATGAAGTCCGTAACTACTTGAGTTGTGATGTTGAAGGTAATGTATGCATCCCTTTAAGTTTGTTCTCCCTCTTTTATATCCACCAAATCAGTCCACTTCTCGTTGGGAAACTGCCATATCTCCAGTCTGACTCATCTACTGCCTGGCCTACTCTAATTCTGTGTGGCAAATTAGAATACAATGTGAAGAAGTTGAGTATTTTCTTCCTCTACTTTCTATATTCACATGAAACTCATATAGTCCTTTTCTGATAATTTCTAACAGCAGTATTTCAGCTTTTCATACATGAGTTCTAAACAATAGTGTTCTTCAATAAGAATATGAAATGTTTGTATTCTTTAATTTCTAGAGCCTAGGAAAGTCTGATTTACATAATACAGGATAGTCACAGGAAATTATTAATCAGAGAAATAAGAGGATAGAGGTATTCATTCCAAGAAGCTTAGTGCTGGAGCTTCTACTGTAGAAAGAACGTGAACAGTGGATTTAGTTAAGTAGGATAAACATGCTTGCTTTCATTGAAACAACAGAACTTTCCTAGCTTACCTGGGCATACTTCCTTTTAATTTGGATATCTTAGCATTTTCTCCAATGAGCATAAAAATGATATTTTTTTAAATCCAGACTAGTTTTAGAAGTCTTCAGCATTACGCATCTGTATTTCCTATCTCAGTTAGTAGTCTCACTATATATTTATATATTTAGTTTCCCAAGCTATAAATGGCATGCTTATCTTTGGTTCAGCCCTCTCTTTTTCAAGTCCAGTTCAGGTTTCTATCTGTGACCACCCTGCAGTATCATGTAAATCCTTCCCGCTTTATTACCCTAGCTTCTATTTTTCACTTAGTTGTATTGATGCCTTAACTGGCTTTATTATGTGTCAGGTTTCTATCCCCACCCAGCCTGATCCCTCCATCAGAACTCTCTAAAACACAGTTCTGATCATCACTTCCCTGCACAAAAATATCCCTTGGATGTCTCTTCATTGACTTTAGGAAAAATTCTAAACTATCAGGGAATCTAAGGCTTATTACAACTCTTTACAGGTTTATATTCCACTACTCAACCTCTGTATATTCGGTGTCTAATCGTTTCTCATCATCTCCCCATCAGGTCATGCACTTTTAAACCTTTATTCCTTGTTTGGGTTGAAGCTTCCTGTGGCGTGCCTTTCCACCCAACTTCTTACCTTGGCAAATGCTATTTTTCTTTAGAAAACACCAATTCTTTGTTCTCTCATAGAATGTTACTCTAGTATAGCACGTTTCAGTATAGGCAGTCAAAGGTATATTGTCACTTGTTGCTCCTTGAGGATTCTTTATTCAACTTCAAAGCTTACTATTTTTCTGGTATGATGCCACTTGTGATTGTCTTGAATTGAAATGAATTAGTAATAGGTGCTTTCACGGTTTTTGATGCTGGTAATTTGAAAATTTTTCTGTATTCACATAGAATGTCTAAGGTATTGAATAATAGTCCTCATTATTTGTATCAGGACTTTTCCATAATACTGGCGTCAGGGGAGGACACACACGAATTTAATTTTGTCTTGATTGGACTCACTAGCATCTATCAGTTCTCATTCCCTAAAGGATTTTTTTCATTGAATGATCACATATTTACAAAAAATAAGCTTTAAAATATGGTTTAGGTGACTCCCCTAGTTGTACTTAAAACTATATTACTGTTAGTTTCTTCTATTTTAAAGTAAGGGATATAATCTCATTTTGAGTATATTCTCTTTGGCTTTCTATAACAGTATTAATGTATTAAATGCATGTAGCTAAAATCTAAGTGATTGATATTTATTCTCATACACTTGCATACACAATTATTTAGAAAATAGTGACGTCTTATCCATATTTAGATATTCAGAGTACACTGATGTTAGCTTTGTGTTCCCTCCCCCACCCCCTGCAATCTAGGAGGTGCTTGATCTGGGTCTGTTTATATTTTAATGTATTTATTATTGTTAGCGAATCTTGCTTCATTTCACATTTATCTGGGTATAATATTTGTTAAAAATGGTTTTGTATCTGGGCCTTAAGGACAGGAAGTTTTGATTGTTGGAGCAAGGGATAAAATTAATTCAAGAGCAGAGAGCTCTATGTTGACAGTTTCCAAATTCTTAAAGTTCAAATGCAGTAACTATGAGAAATCTAACTGCTTGCATGTGCTGAGAGGCGGGATGTGCGGGAAATAGGTGTAGGTTCCAAAAGGCCGTCATGCCCATATCGCAGGTGGGACTTCCACCACAAAATGAACTTTGAGCTGTAACAGCAACTAGATCCTGTACCCCTCACTTTTATTCTGCCTTTTAATGGATGGAATGTCCTGCTTGGACCATCAAGGTCTTTTCAATTGACATACCTTTTTGTTTAGGGAATTGTTGGAAGACATAATTTCTAGCTATTCTGATTTTTGGTAAAAGTGGTTGAAATAACTATGTAAGTGCTGAAAATCAGGCTTTTCTCTTGAGGTCTGGGGGACATCTTGAGATGTCCAGGTAGTTTTTTAGGTAGCAAATACCTGGGGTGAAAGCACAAGTGATAGCTCTTTTATATATTTATTTCCCTGTGTACCCCATTTGTCATACCTTTGTTACTTCCTTAAAATAGATTACAATGATTCTTTTCACTTTTATTTATTTATTTATTTATTTTTAAAGATTTATTTATTTATTTATACAAGCACTGGGTATAGTCAGAAGCACGGGAGGGAGAGAGAATTCACCAGAGCCAGAGTGGGGAACAGAACAGGCAGACCAGAACAGGCAGACTGACGAAATACACTGCTGAGGAGAGCAGCGGGTGAGACATGAGAGGTTTCTGTCATGCCATGTGGGACCCTCGCCAGCGGCCGGGGATCGAACCTGCGCTGCAGAGGCTGCGGGCAGCTTCACAGTCCAGCGCTCAAATGCTGTGCCACCAGGGGAGGCCCTTCACTTTTATTTTTAATGGATTGAAGACTTCATCTTTCAGAAAGTACCCACAGTCTTGGTAGAGTGTTAGATGAAATATGTCTATACCATAAAGTCTTTTAAATTCATGTTTTTTCAATGGAATTTTGGTGAAACCTGGTATTTTCTCCTGTGCAGATGAAGTGAAAGAGAAACTCTGCTTCCGGCACCATTCAGTTATTTGCATGCTGTTGCTGCATATATTTTAGACTTTCCACTTGTTTGACAAGGGTAGTGCATATTTTATTTTTTTCAAAACTCTATCATTACTGATTTTGTGCTTAATACTCTGCTGAGCATGTTGATTATATTATCTGATTCCCTGTACCACCCTCGTGAGGTATATTCTGTAATTCCCACTACACAGATGAAGAAACTGAGCCCAGTGACTAAGTTTCTTGTCCATAGCGCATTTGTTTTGGGACGTGAAATCAGTATAAGTCAGTCTGGCACTAATCCTTGTGCTTCTGAATACCACTCAGTGCTGTGGCTAGTGATTCTGGGTTTCATGATGTGATATTGTGTTCACGAAGGAGAGGATTAAGTATCTCAATTCATTTCATGGAAGCTGCTAGATACCTTCAGAATGATAGTGTTCTTTGTTCTTCACTGGCCTTGTTTGGATTGAGTGTTAAACTAGAGAAGGTTTCATATCACATAAATGATTCCTTGGGCCAATCTGTCTCTGCTGCAGATTTTAAAAATAAAAATTTTGTTTAGGTCCTAGAGCAATAGTTTTAAAATGCTTTGTATCCACCAGGGTTGGAATAATCATTTAAAAAGAATGGATGAATAAGGAAAAATTGACAACAGTTTCTGAGCCTCCCCAAATGGCTATATCCTTCAGAAAAAAAAAAAAAAAAAGTGTCAAATCTTAACACTTCATGCTGTTCACAGCAGCTGCCACACTTCTGCAAAATGCGTCAGAACAATTCTGAAAAGCATTTTGCCTGTTGGGAATGAGACCATGCCTTCTTTTACAATTTAGAAAGCTTTCCATTCACAGGCTGAATTTTCTAGATTACTTGTTTGTTCTTTTCTGAAATGGGTAATTGATAGTTGTGTGGTGTGTGTTGAGTTAGGAAGAAAAATGATCTTTGGAAAAATGTATCATTAAGTCTGCTGTGTCGAGGTTAATCAGAAGGATGCAGTGGTGAAACTAAGCTATGACTTAACTGGATTGAGAGAGGCAGAAGATCTGCCGAGTGCTTTATCCATGTAGTTTTTCTGGAGTGCTTTTCTAGGCAGCTTCTGTAGTTGTACACAGGTTTTCACATATGCAATTAGTAGTGTTTATAGATTGCCTGTTATTCAATTAACAACTGAGCTGGCCATATCAACTCACTGCAGACCTGCCTTTTCACTGCCAGAGATTGTACCAGGGTTATCAATTTACACAGGCTTGGATGTCTTCCAGCTGTTTAATTATAGTGTCACACGCTTTGCTTTTTCTAGTTTCATTAGTTTATAAATGTAATATGGTATCTTATTTCTGTGATTAACACTTCATTTCAGCAGGTTAAACATGCTGGTAGAGACGTATTGATTTCTGACACTATTTCCCCTGTGTTCATTTAGATATTTTCACATGCTTTTTATTGATTTTTTGAAAGTGGCAAACATGAGAAAGAACACCCCAAAACGTATGCCTAAATAACTGATGTGAAGGAAAGCCACGCATTTAGCTCTTAATTGTCACTTCCTGTGAGCTTTATTTTCTATTAATTTTTAAAACAAACACTCGTCTTGCCAAGTTTTTAAGAATAAAAATATGAATTGTAATCTGAAACAATTATGTAACACTTAGGCTATGAAAAATGATCATTTTTACTATTTATAGCTTACTCTTTATGTGTTATATATGCTAAAGCCTGAATGAGTTATTCTTGGGGGATGTAATAAAAATAATTCTTAAGCGTAATGGCAGGACTATTTTGTTTTCTCACTACTCTTTTGAAAATAATGCCAAGTATTTTTATAGAATCTGGAGGTAATCTTGGGTTTTTTAACATCTGGGCAATTGGCACTTAAAAAAATCAACTGAGTACCATCTGGGTGAGCCACTCTAATAAGTGGT